GCCTGCAAACGCACCCGCTGGGATTCTTCTTGACATCTACTCCCGCAAGGCCTGGATGACACAACTGAGACGATGGAGACGAAGTACTCCGAGCTTGCTGAGAACTTCTGGAATTTTTTGCAGGAGGAGGCTGCTCACTCGTGCCTGCAAAAGTGCTGAGATTGCAGCATGCGTGTGTGTTGATAACGTTCCTCGTGAGGGCATGGACAACATATTCGAGATCAATCGCTCGCCGGAGTTCTTGGAATGGACCCAGAATCAGCTTGGGATGCGAGATCTTCAAATGGATGCTCGGCAAGGTGCTTTCAAGAAGGTAACAATTTTGTTTCTCAGCCCGGACCCTTCCACCTCGGCTGGTTGGCGCAGCGTGACGGTGGCGAGACTTGGTGTTAATCAGACAGGGCAAGAATGAATCAGAAAATGCAGCTGAGCGAGCATGCATGCCTGTCTCGACAAGCAGAGGAGCGCCTTTGAGAAATTCTTGGCTTTCGAGAGCTCTCATGAGTGGCCCGGAGACAACTTCAAAATTCCAGCGCCGATGCAGGCACATGACAACCGTGCGCAGTCCATTGAGTGGGGCATCATACTCATCATGTTTAGAATTCAAATGCAACATGGACAGGAGTCGCTTGCGGAACTTCAGAGCCTGAAGTATGCCACGGGCCACCAGCGATGTGTATCCTTCTATGCTTACCTGGCCTTCTGCCTGGCTCTAAGATGTGTTGTTGAGGAAGAATGTGCTTTCCTGGTACTGGGCAACCTTTGTCCTGAGGTTTCCGTCGACAAGAATCTTTGCCGGATTGGGTCAAGAAAATGGCTCTGGGTGTACCATGCAGCCTGAAGGTGATGGACCAGGCGTGGTCGTGCCCTTGCCAGGGACAGGAATCAGAATTCATGTGTGCAGACAGCAGTTCCTTGCACTTGGAACTTGATGTAAAAGCAGTCTTTGTCGAGCTTCAGCGATTCCTGCCAGGTGGCGGCAGCGATGGCCGGACTCAAGGCCTCAACAGATGCCTTGTATGGGACTACCCCATGGACATGGACCACGCTCTTGCGAGTAGCACGCGATACGGGCTTGGCAGTGCAGGGGCCACTTGTTCGAATTTCTGATCTTACACTTTTCCATAGTCATTCTGCTTCCTCGTCACTGCTGCTTAGTGGAGGCTGCAGAAGCGGTGTCAAAACGACATTGGCCAGATGGCCGCTGATGACAGCATCTTCCCATTTCGCAGGCTTGGAGTGTCAGGTTAAGACACTTCTGCATGTGTGCGTCACAAATGCAGTTTTGTATCTATTTGCAAGGCAAATTTTGAGTGCTGGGACAAATGAACTCCTTCAACAGTCATTTGATGGGTGGATGTTCCAGGCACTCTAGTGTTACGTTTCACGTCGGTGTTTGTGAAAATTGCAGGCTGGTCGCCTTGGATGGGCGAATTGGTGAGGATGCTTTGGTGACCATTTCAAAAAGCCATTCCAGGTGTCTTGCCGGTGCATGTTTTTTCACGGCTTTGCTGAATGTTTTTTTTTTTGTGTGCGAGATTCATCCGCCCGTCAAACTTCATTCAGCCCAGCGCAGCAAGAGCCCAGGTTTCTTGCGGACACCTTCCCCATCTCATGGTTCCGGAAGAAGGATTACCAGCTGGCTCCAAGTCAAAGGGCAGGTGCCGGGGATTACATGGAGCCTGCTTCTCAACATCTCTGGGTGCAGCGGACTTTGAAGGAGGTGGGCTCAATTGCCACGCAACGAGTCATGTGTCACTTGGTTCCAGGCTTCAGTCCCGCGTTCTCGTAGGTTGAAAACATTGTCGAAGACAAGTTGAAGACAAAGCTGGCTGCCGGCCGGCCGGCGTCTCACCGCCGCGACATCCCCGGCATTGCGCGCCTTGTGACTGAGGACAGTGCTTGACTGGTCCGTTTTGGCCACTATCTGGGCAAAGCTTTTTGATGCGTGTGTCTCTGATAGGATCTCCGGGCAAGGTGGCGCAAGTATGCTGTCATTTTCACGGCCGGCCTTGATGCTAGCAAGGCACGTGAAAATTGGCAGGAAGATGAGATGCGCAGCTTCAGAGACACGTTTATCAATGGCTTTATGGACAATGTGCTTTCTGCGCACACGAGCTTGCGCTATGATTCAGTGGAAACAACGTGGCCCTGCTTCATCAAAGCGCTGGCGGTGCGCAAACGGCAAGCGGAGGACCTGGAGGCCGAGCAGGTCCGCGACATCATCCGCTCCAAGCGAGAGGCACTGGAGCAGGAAGACCTGGAGGAGCAGGAGAAGGCGACTGCAGGGGTGACTGTGCCAAGGGATCTCAGCAAAAGGGCAGAAGCGCACGAAGCTAGTCTTTTGATGAAATGGTGCCCGCAGACATGTGTAGCATTGTTATCATCTTCTTGACAGATGTCTTGCAGGTGCGAAATCGGAGTGAGTTGAGGCGAGCCGTGCTCCAGGCCACGAACGCCTCCCTCTGTGAGAAGGTGGCCTGAGACCATTCGAGTTGCCCATGCTTGTATCTTGCCGGCTGATGGCTCCAGTAATTTTTGATTGCGGCAGCAGGCTCAGACATTGTTGGTGGACGTCCAGCGGCTCTTGTCAGAGTCCCTCGTCAAGAAGCATCACGAACTTGAGCAGGCTCAGATCGCTGAAGTGTCAGGGAAGTCGGGCATGTTGCGTTGCCTCATGTTGTCAAGGCCTCCGAGTCGTACTGCATCAGCGAGTACAGACGGCAGGAAGGCCCGGTGAAGTTCAAACAGCAGCAGCCGTTTTAGCAATTTCTTCTTGGCAGGTGAGATCCCACGGAGATGGCAGTCTTTGGCCCGCGAGCACGACAAGGTCGTGTTCTATACCGACCTGAACGTTCTTTGCGGTGAGCTGCTGGAGGGAGCGATGTCGCTGACCGACGCTCCGCCCGTGCTCAAGACTATCTTGGGTTCAGGAGCCGGTCCAAGTCTTCTTCAGTTGTGTGGGTGACTGCCCCAGGCAGCTGCTTTGTTTGTTGCCTGGGGGGCATGGACATGGATGTGCATTTTTCTGAGCATGCCTCTGAAGTTGATTGTGAGGTGCCTGGCAGCAATCGTGCTCCCGTTGCAGCAGAGCGTCACCTCTCTTGAGCGTGAGGTGATGAGGATGATTGATGGCTTTGGGTCTCGCCGAATTTTCCTGACATCGGTGGCTGCCCCTCCGTGGTCGCCAGGCACGACATGCCTGTCGGTCCTTCTCTTGTGGCCGGAAGGATCTGAGTGGGAGACCGTGGCCATGAGCATGCTGCCAACTGTCAGCATGGTCAACCTGAGCTACGAGAGCCGCTTGTCCTCTCTATTTGGCATGTGGTCTGTTTGCGATTTTCGTTGCGGTCCCACACTCACACAAAGTTGTGCATTCCCTATAAGGTACCCTGCGTGCCAGCAACCGCCACATCTTGGGCCCGGAAACGGTCCTGGGTCGTGAGCTGCCGTTGTTGCTGCTCAACAAGCTGCGCGGGGCAATCGGCGAGCGCATCAGCTTGGCAGTGGTGGAGCTGGAGGCAGGTCAGGGCCAGACGTTGGAGGCGGTACTGAAGGGCAAGTCCCATATGAGCACCGTGTACGATGGTGTTCTCATGGGTTCTGCCCCCTCGCGTGTTGCCGCCCTGAAGCGAATGGTGTCTGAGCAACTCATCTTCATTAGAATGCTAAGTTAATAAGTTTGCCTGAGAACATGAGAACATGAGACATCGCATGGCAGTGTCCTGGATGAGGCACATCGGAGCAACACAGCGGACCCTCAAGAAGCGTGACAGCACAACGACTCAGACGGCCGAGCAAATGGTGGAGGAGAGCGAGATTCCATGGACGACGGCGCAGCCACCTGAAGAACTCATCGAGATCTTCGCAGAGTACCGCAAGGGGGCGGAGGAGCGAAAGTTGTTGTCATTCTGTGTCATACCCATGAGCTTAAACGCAGGAGACGGGCCTGAGCGACATTGTGCAGACCGTCTCGTCGGAGTTTGTCATGCGCGAATCGCTGCCATCCCAAAAGGCATGCAGGAAGTCGTTGACGCGACAGGCCACGGATGAGCAGAAGCTCGGTGCATAATGTATGTAATAGTGCGTATAATGTAAATAAGTATAATGTGTATAATTTATGTCTATAATGTGGAAAATTTCTATACTGTATATACTGTATACCTAGAGAATCCAAAACTGCTAAAAAGTCAATTTGGTGACATCTGCAGGGGTTGTATTGATTGCATCTGGGTCTGGGAATTTGGTGAAACAACCCCAGATGTCACCAAATTGACTTTAAAAAATACCCGAAGGCTCCAATCCTGGGGTTTCGCTCGCAAACCCGATAACCCATGACGCGGTCATGGGTAAATCACGGGTTTGTCACGGGTAAACCTCGGGTTTCGATTCAATCAAGGAGGTTCTGTCTAGATTTGTCAAACCCGGGGTTCTACTTTCAGAGCCGGGGTTTGCTCAAAAGATCGCTAAAGCCCGAGTTCTCAAACAAGAACCCACCTCTTTTCAGGGTTTCGATTCCCTAGGTATACTGTATAGACTGTGTATACGTAATGTATATATAACACACACACATATATAATATATATATATACATACTTCCTTGCTGGTTGTTTTTGTCCCTTAATCTTGTTACTCAGGGCAGGGCGGGGCGGAGGGGACATGTTGAATTGGTTTGTGGGAATGCTGAGGATTCTCCTGAGCCGGCTGCCAGTGGAGTTGAGAGTCCACCGACAGCTTTGCGAGCAGAAGCTGGCCCTGGTTCCCTCTGCACTGTCCTGTCGGGTTGCCATGACACCCGCTCGAAACTTCGCAGAGGTGCGCTGAGAATAGGAGTTTATGCTGTTTCCCTTCGATGTGCTCGGGGTGGTGCTACCCTCCCCCGCCCCACCTCTGTTTTCACATATGCAGGGTGAAGTGGTGCTGGCAGTCGATGGACCTTGGGTCAAGGGAGATGCCTTGCCGTGCCTCGCGCTGGCGTTCCTGACGCTCGGCTACGGGATTTCAGGATTCAGAAGTTCTGAGAGGCCTCTTCCGTTTCTCTACATGTTTGGCTGCCATGATTCTGCTTAACATGGCAGTGCAAGTATGGTAGAATTTCATGAGCTTCCATGTCACTTTAAGGAACACGGACAACACCCCGAACCTGATGATGAGCATGTCGCTGAATGCCCAAGCTGGAAATTTGTTGTCGTTCCTACATTTCGTGGACAAAGAGTATCAAGATGATATCTCGACTCGAGCGGAACAGGTTGCTGGGCTGGGCCAAAAGGCTATTAGGTACACCTATCATGCAAGCTGCCACATGTTTTCGGAGTTTGTGGACGCTGTGCTTTAGAGGTTGTGCTGTTGGACAAGTCCTGGGACCTCAGCACGACAAGCGATCCTCGCCTGGTGCTGCGCGCTCCTCGTTACTCGGCAGACGGCTAGTGCAGCTCCACTTCCTGGGCCACTGCTCATGCAATGTGTCAGGTGCACTAACCGCTTTCGGGCCTGAGCTGGGCATTTGCATTGACACTGACAAGAAGAAGGCGCAGCTACGTGTCCAGGTCATGGCCTTGCGGCTGTAGACGTACTCAAGTGGTTCTGGAAGCCATTGCGTTAGTCGGGATGTACAATGCAAGGGCGAGGAATTTGCTGAGAACTTGCCTCCAAGGACCTCTTTAATTTCGGCTCCAACTCTGAATAAGTGTAAGATTGAAATTCTCAATTCACTGTGTTTGCCAGGGAGCAGTGATTGATTAGGTTCTGAATGCAATTTTGCCCGAGCAGTTCATGTACTTTGGAGCTCTAGTTGCCAGTGCCAGCAAAAGCTCACGTAGACTGACTGTTTGCGTTGCGCTCTCAAACAGGGTGCCGCGGGGCGTGGCGTCCAGAAATCGCCTCAAAAAGTCCAGGCCTCATGGGTCAGAGATGGACATCGGATTTGGCCTCAGACTGCCTCACTGTGTGAAGGCGGTGCCACCATCGAAGCGTGCTGGAAGCTGCCGCTTGATGATTTTCAAGTTGTGTCAGTCGGCTTTATGTGGGCTCTGGGGCCCCATCTCGGTTCAAATGCAGCCCAGGTGATCTGGTTTCCGCCAAGGCCAAGGCGCTGAAAACAGAAGATGAGGGTGGTGTTGCTCCTCTTGGGGAATCCAGTGACGAGGCAGGCTGCTCATGATAGCCACCATTTTGCTGTGACAGGGGACAAGTCTGCCCTTGCAGGAGCCTCAAGATGAGCCGCCTGCAGAAAGCGTCAGACTGGAGGTTCCGGCCAGTCTGTAAAGGGTTTCAGCTGTAAGTTTGAATGCTTGCCCACAGCGCTCGAGCAGCGTACAGCGCAGGAGCCTGATGACGAGGCCGCAAAGGTGCCTTGCACTTTTGTGTGAAATTCCAGGTCGTTTACGAATGGATAGGAAGCAGGCCCATAATCTGAAAAGTGACATTGAAAGGACGTGGCCATGGGCAGCCCTCAGCAGGACGAACTGAAGCCAGATGGTGGCTTGGCAGTAAAATATTGGCTGACAGCAGGCTGAAGAATTGGAACTATCGTGTGCAGTCAAGGTCTGCTGCTGGAGGATGACAACCCCGAGGACTACATGTTGACGGTCGCGGGCGACTTCGAGATCCGCTGGGACAAGGATGACAAGAAATTCGTCATCGCAAAGCTCAAGCGGAGACAGAACCTGAAGGCCAAGCACATTGTGGCCGTGATTCCTGCGGGCGACCTCGGCCAGGATGGTTGCTTGACCTGGAAGGCCATGGGTGCCGAGACGCAAGGTCTGAGGTTCAGGTAAGCAGATGGCAGCATGTTGTAGGAACATTTCACAATTTTTCAGGCGACAAAGGCGGCCAGGGTCATGACAACGGACAAGATGCTGACCGCAACTTCAATTTCGCAGGCGCCTTGCACAGCCTGCAGAAGCGGAGGGGGGGGCCTAATTACTTGTAACAACGATTTTACTTCCTCATTTAGCATGACTTACAGTAAATCAGCGGGGCCCCATATTATTCAAACCTGCAATTGCAGTCCCAGACCCTGCGCCACAAGATGTTCAACTCACAGAATGGCCAAAACCCAAAAGCAGCCAGGCAGAGACCCTGGGAGCTTTGGCGAGTTCGCAGAGCGCCGAGATCTACAACTCGGGATCCAGAAAGAAGATTGCCTGGAACCACAACGGCAGGCATGCCCAGGAAATGCTCAAGTTTGCCATAGAGAATGACAACTATTATGGGCTTATGTTTGCAGCTTGGCTTGCTCTGGTGCTATAGAAATCAATAAACTCAGCTCCCAATTGCGTGATCTTCTTGTGTGAGCCAATTGCTCGTGCTGCGGCTAGCGGAGGTTGTGAACAAAGTCGCGGGCGTCCTCGAGCCATGTGGTGCCGTCATCCGCACAACAAAGTCATGCGTGGTAGCAGGCAACAAGGGCACGTCCCAGGATTTGACATCTTTGTTGCTCAAGGCTGCCGGGCCCAAGACCAAGGCTGCTGACGGATCCGGGGTTGATGCTGGCCCAAGGTTGTCTGTAGATGGCGAACCTATAGAGGAGGAGGAGCCAGAAGAAGAGGATGAGTAGTTTGGGATGGACACTTGAGCGCTCAGCAGTGCCTGAATCCTGTAGCTGGCGCTGATTTTGCAAGCGAGGTGCTGATTTTCCATCTCTTGCTGCAGCACGCTGCTCCACACGGAACCAATCTAGAGCCGAAGGTAAATCAGCCACAAAAAAATACATGAATTGCCGCAGCTTCATTTGCTGGTTGTGGAGTTGGACAGTTGCAACGCTGCAGCAAGGCATGTTTCCATGATACCATTGGCCGGACGCGTGAGATTTGTATGTCCACACGCTAGAAGAGCCAGACAGCGCACTACGTTGAAGAAAGTGCTGTACTCCCCACGGCAACAGTGTGTATGGTTGCAATCTATGCAAGCAGCACGAGCTTAAGAAGCAGGTGCAACAGCAAGTCTACGTTACGGCCCAGGTCGCGA